TATCTAAAATGTACATTTCACTTTTTCGTAGATATAACAAAAAAAAAACAAAATAACATGTTAGATGTATGGAGTTGAACTCATTGGCAATATTTGATAGAAGAAACAAAATTTAGATGTGTGCGTGTAATTCGTCTCTGTTAACTTGATTATTTTTCTTTTTCGTATTTGTTCATTGTTGTTGTTGTTGTTGTTGTTCTTTTGAAGCAAACAATAAATATCCACTTTGTTTTTTTCGTAGAATCGAAAGCAAAAATAAAATAATATTTAACTATTTTCAAAACAAAATTCAATGAATCCGTTTAATCTTATTTTTGTTTCAACAGCTGTTTAGTCACAATGTAGAACTATATATATGATCATATCATTTCTTATCATCATCATCATCAATGATAAACAATCAATCGTCAAAAACCAAATAGTATTTGTATTTGATGATCTCTATTATGATACTCATCAGTGGTTAATGTTTAAAAATGTGTTCATATCGATTTTATCTGATCTTGATACATTTAAGTTCTTTTTCTTTTTTACTCTACATTTATTTGGTCAGCTGAGAGTCTGAGTGTGACTCTTGATCTCATTTTCATTCTAAAAATGTGAAGTAAATGATACCTCGTTGTAGTTACATTGCTTCCACAGCAAGTATTTGTATCTATTTTCTACCATAGTTATTATATTCTACGTTAGTTTTTTTATGTTATCAGTTATAAGCTTAGACTTATTTGAACTTAAAAAAAAAGAGATACTAGAATAAATACATTGAAAAATAAAATGTAATTACTTTTTATCTCATCCCATCATCTTTCACATGTGTTGGTGAAACTTATTTCCAATCGACTACATCTGATTTTTCTGTACAAAGCACCGTATATTCAATTTCAAAGGTGTGGGTGTGGACAAAGAAAAGATGAATCCATTCACACCCAAACCCTCAAGATAGTGTACATGAAATCTTCGCCTTAAGCCTTATCTTGATGTACGAATTTCAGAGTGTTCATAGATTGCGCAGCTTTTATAGGTATTAGCTCCTAAGATATGTATGAATTATAATGCTGTGTTTTCAGCTCTTTTCTTTTAAATGTTATATTTAAGAAAATTAATGTAAGTAAATGTAGAAAAAAAAGTAGATGAAGGGCTTGATTAAAAACTAATAAAAGTTTCGTTTGATAATAAATAGTTTTGGTTCATTAATTTTTGATGCCAAGAAGACCATTAATAATGGCCTCTATTTGTTCAACTGATTCAGTAGAGGGTGGTGCAACTTGTTCATTATTTTTAATAAATAAAAATATTGGTATTGCTTTGACGTTGTATTTTTCAAAGATATCAGGATTGCAACTTTGCTTATTGCATTTGATGAAAAGAACCCGATTTATATAATCATCATCTTCACTCCATAAATTAACATAGCGTTCTATTCGTTCACAGTCTTCATGACGTCTAAGAGAAGAAGTAACAGAAATCAGTTATAGTCATCAGTACAACAAACCTACCGATCAAAAAAGAAAAGCACAATTAATTCGGTCTTAGGACTTACATTTGCTTGAATATTGTTGAATTGAGCTAATGATGCAACGTCTGTAGTCATGATGAGAAAAGATGAAATAATTCCAAGTATTTATCTATGAATAAATAACGTATGCATGTTGTAATGTAAAAAAGAGGACATAGACGCATAACTCCATACTAAAGTAAACAAACTAATATAAATAACGTTTAGAAAAATGCAACTAAAATTTAAATAGAAACAAATAAGAAAAGATGAAAAAAATAGAATAAATTTTGTTCATAGTTTCTTCATTGATGATGTCCGAAGCTGTTCGACAACTGATCGTAATTGCTGAATGTCATCATGTATCGTATCAATTGTAGGACTAAAATAGACGATACATTATAGAAAAAAACGGAAGTAGGGTAATAAATCCTCGAAATGATTATGGTCAAATGTAAAATATAGATGCTATTTATCCAGTGTTCTGATAACTCGAATAACTGAAAGATATTATCGTTGATGTTTTTCAAACTTACCTTGAGTTCACAACAAATCCATTTTGTAACAATGATCTTGCATAGGTTTTCGTTGCTTCATGTTCAAAGTAATCCCAACGGTAGTTCATTAATGTTTTGTTCTTTGGAATTATTTCTTTAGATAAGAAAAAAAAATATTATTTGGTACATATACTATTTTTTCTACTTCTTACTGAAAACTTTTTCTTTCATTTGCTGAAATCCTCCATCACCGTAATTACTGCGATAATAATTACGGGACTTTGTGATTGCATAGAACATACGTGTTACCAAGAACCACATATGTGGTAAAATAATCAGTGGTGGATATGAGAACAGAGGTTTTTCGAAATATTCACATATCAATTGATATCGTTGATATTGCCAATGAAATGTTGTATTATCTTGAACGTTGTTTATTGTAAAACTAAAAAGTTAAGAAATAGTTTATGGTTTTTCAAATATCAAATTGGCTTACCCAAATACAGCAATAAGAAGATTCAACATAAGTACACTAATAAATAGCATATGCATTGCTAACAAAACATGTGTAGCAGTTATTTCTGCAATGTAAGTTCCGTTTTTATTTTCACTCATTTCTAAAAACATAATGGCATATATCTACGATTACTCTAAAAAAATAATGCTTACCCTCGAGAACTTTATCACTACCACCAAATAAAAATGAATAGGGAGGATAAAGTATTTCACTGAATATGCTATAGAGACTGAAATCGATTTTGTTATGCATGATCATCGCGCGTGAAACAACACCATAAGCAGTAATAAATACAAATATGATATATAAGAAAGTGATCAAATCTCGTGTCTAAATAATAAAACAAAGCATCATTTTTAAAGACTTCATTAGTTTACTTACCATAGTTTTAATCATTAGAAGTTTAGGTCCAAGATAGCTATGTGAAATCATAAATTTCAACGATCGTAAATACCACAATTCCAAATCAATAGCCATAATAATCCTTAGAATATTTTTTGTATATTGTGTTAAAACGAATAGTAATATCTTACCTTGCAGCCGTTAATAAATGTGGCGTATTACCCATAGTATGTCGCATTATGATGCCAGTATAAAACAGTGCATATAAAGCAATATCAAAAAGTGTTGTCATTAATTTTAGTAACACTGATTCGAAAGGATGTTTACACTCATGCATATTTGTTACAAATGCACTATATTTCTAAACGATAAATGTAATAGCAGATAGATATATGGCAACTAATAGCTCGATAGAGGTAGGCCACTACACTCTAAATAAAACAGGTGCTCTACTAAACTCCCAAAAAAGGTTTCGTGGTGACGAAAAAGTCTTCAGATATGTTCAAAGTTTGAAAAACACAATAAAAAATTCTACCAAACCATTAAAGGATCCTCCCGTGTATCGGAGGGGGGGGGGAGAGCCTTCACCTACGAAACCTTTTTTTAAGTTCAGGACACCAAAAAAAGGTTTCTTGGAGAAATACGAAACCTTTAGAGTTTCATTTGAAACCCTAATAGTTTCGTACTAAACCCCAATGTTCTGGTGTAGTTTAATACGAAACCATGAAAGTTTCGTATTTCTCCAGGAAACCTTTTTTTGGTGTCCTGAACTTAAAAAAAGGTTTCGTAGGTGAAGGCTCTCCCCCCCCCTCCGATACACGGGAGGATCCTTTAATGGTTTGGTAGAATTTTTTATTGTGTTTTTCAAACTTTGAACATATCTGAAGACTTTTTCGTCACCACGAAACCTTTTTTGGGAGTTTAGTACAGCACCTGTTTTATTTAGAGTGTAAACTTAGCTTCAAATTAACTTTTAATATGAATATACTAATAGAGCTAAATTTTACCTGACGAATCTGTTCTAAGAGAATTGTTGTTACTGTGATGATCACAAAAATTTCAGTCCAATGAGGAAGTTTCTTATTTGGTGGCAGATCAAATCGATATAACATCATATAGCTAAATGTAAGTAGTAGCCACACGTTAGAAATCTGTGAAGAAATCAAAGTTAGAATATATGCAAATATAGATTATGAGAAGTATACTCTTACAAAGTCATAGATCATTTTGATCATAGGAGATTCGTGAAAGCTGATAAATCGTTTAAAGTATGAACAACACGTTAGTTTCTGTAAATTATCAGAAGGCTTATAATGGGTGATACCACGGGAACACAGTCTACATGTTTACAACTTTTCATATAATAGATATATAAGAAATGTCGCTCACTGTTCATTTTTATTCGATGGTGACTGTTCTTGCGATTCTTCATGCTGTTGCTTACGAAAGACAACATAGAAGGGTGCAAGAACACCAAAACTGAACAAACCAAGAGTAAGCATTGGCTTTTCGGCACCATTACGATTGGCTTCATCAAGTTTGTCATACCAAGCGTCATTCATAACTCGATCAAAACAAACCGTCAATAGAAATTTCTTGCTTTCAGCTGCCACAGCAACCTAAGAGAAAAAAAGGACCACTAAGAGCAAGCAAAATATGTCCAATTCTGCATACTTGTGCACATGTTATATAACCAAAGAGTGGTATCTCTCGCAAAATGAGCTCACAGGCTTTTGTTTCATCATGCTCATAACAACTATTGATGCACTGTATTGCATATAATTCAAATTCGTCTGCTATACTCTTCATTTTTTCTTTCATCTCAATAATGCTCGCATATTTCGAGTATTCTGTGAATATTTTTGATGCAATAAGTGAAGCACAGGTTCTTGGTTTCAGATGAACGAGTAGTACTTTAGTCAGTTCGACATGACCCATAAATACAGACCATAGAAAGAGATCTCGTAGCTTATGTTGTTCTGAATATTTTTTGTCGTCTTTTAAACGACGTCTCACTGGAAGTAGATACTTATAAAAGTGATTCATGCGAGGTTCTGGTTTCCAACAGCATCTACAAATTTTTTGAATTAGTCCATCATATGTGCGTTTCAGACTAGCCAAAATACGCTTTCGTTTCGAGTACAAAGGCTGCATAAAGGAACCGATATATTCTTCACAGAGCAGATCAACACCAGCAAGTGAGTCAGGGTTTTCACGGTTTTCTCCGTTCAATCCAGGAAATAAATATCGTTTCTAGAGTAAGAATATCTGATAGGTTTATAAATCAATATTTGTTGAAAGATATCTACCGCATGTTGTTTGTTCCAGCCATTTTGATATAGTTCTAAGATGTCGTCTTGATGTAATTCGTGCAAAACATCATATTGAGATTGAAGTAAATAATTGACCAACAGAGGTTTATTACCTTTGACTGAAGTAATAAAACTTTTTCCAATATCTTCAGAGAACAGCTAATAAGAAAATTTGAAAGTTTTTATGAAGTTAGACAAGAAAATGTGAATGCTACAGAGAAAATTAATCCGGTTATAGATTATTCTCGTGAGCAGCGATATGTGTTGATCAGATAAAAATCTAGAAAAAAGACTAACCTCTTGTGGCTTTTCTTTAATATCTTCAAAGACGTGTTTTATTCCTTCCAATGAATTCCATTGAATTGCTAGATCTAGTAAAGTTTTTGTATTTTCTTTTAAATGTGCCTGATTTGCAAGCTGACCATCAAGATTGTTTCGATATCCACGAACCATCATGTTGTAACCTTAATATTATTGTAATCAGATTTGCTTTACTTATATCTCATACAAATTTAACTTACCTTTCAAAATTGCATTGAATATTGTTTCAGCAACATTAATATCTTCGTCGAACGAATAAACATTCAAAAGATCACGGCTTTTCATGTTCATAATCTGGGTTATTTCGTAAACGCAAAGTTTGTAATTAACAGATTTAGAGGAAGCGTCTGAGTTCGTCTCGTTATTTTGAAATTCTTTTTTTAGTCGATCAACAATTTCATTACGTTCTGGAACCCTAAAACTTTGAGCATGTTCTTGTGAAAATTACAAACATATTTTCTCTTACCTCTCAGGATATTGCTTTAGCAAATCACTTAATACATTCGCTATTCTACCGCTGCCCTGGAAGGATATAAAACAAAAAAAGTAAAATACTTCGTAAATCTGGTATTATTTCTCACGTCTATAATTACAACAGGACGATTTTCTTTCAAATCATTCAGTATCACATCCAACGTATTTATACCTCCTTCTACAATAACTGTTACTGGGTAGCCTAAAATCGAAGATCAACGTTAGAGAAACATTCTATCACTATATTATTGTGTACTTACATTTGTTTTTTCCATTGTTGGATGCCGATCGTACGAATGTACGTCGCTGTTGGTCGCCTATATAACCAGATAATTGACCATTATCAAACAATAACATATATGTGTGATGTAATTCTACAGTCTCAGCATCATTTGTTTCCAACATTTCTTGAGGAAATGTATAGTCTTCTTCCCTTGCATCATAATGCATAGCATTTCCCTGGTAAGTAAACTAAAAGAAAACAGAACTATTATATTATAAATCTTTTCCAATTGACTATTGTACTTTTTCCGATAACCAATCTCTAGTTTTTTTAGTTAGACTTCCCCATTTTGTGAAACCAATACTGACTACATCTTTTGAACAGCCATTTAATATCCGATCTTCCGATATTGCTTCACCAACCATTTTGGCAATACCACTGTTTAAACCAGTGGTCAATATCCACCCATCTTCAAGCATAAAAAAGAAAGTTATTCTTGCAATATATGCACAAAACCGTACACCGATCAATCTCTTCATTTTTTTCATTTATAATTGTGTCGGTAGCAATTTTCGACTCCTGTTAGATCACTTTAAGTTCTAGATGAGCAAATGACCTTATTCTAATCGATAAAGTCGAGTCAGAAAACCTTTGCCATATATCGGTCTCTAATCGATAGGTGTATATTCACTTTCCTCACTTCTCTATCATTCTCGCTGCATGTGATCATCTGTTCGTCATTTTTCTCACACTTAGTTAAAAACTAAACATTACCAGCAGTTGTAGCTGCTCCGATAATACCACGCATGAATTCCTTCTTCAAACTCTTGTTCATTTTAAAATATTTTGCGCCACCAAGAATGCTTATTATTAAGCTTGGCTCTTTTTTATAATCCTCGTGTATCAAGTTGTAAAGTTTTTCTGCCGTTACTTTGATATCACAACGAATAAACTATAAGCGAAAAGAAAAATTTTCATCTACGAGCGGGACATATATTCTTTTTACCTTAGTTAAGCATGATGCATAAGGATTGTACAATATACCAAAATTATTCATATCTTTTTCCTCTTTCGAACAATATTCAGAATTCCAATTATCACTACGTTGTAACATGGGTTCACCTTCATAGCTGTGCGACCTTTTCAAACGACCACAGCCACATTCATCGTTTTGTTGTTGAGATGGAGATGCTTGTTGTAATTGTTGTTGCTTATTAAATAGGATGCAAGTGCGACGATATTTCAAATCCAATTTGGATATGGTAGCATCCCAATTTTCATATAAAGTTTTATAAAACGACATCTAATAGGTATCTTTCTAAAAAATAAAAGAAATATATATATCCAATATTTGTAGAATCAAAACTGCAAAATTAAACTAGTATATTGTCTCAAAGAACAAAATTTAAGCTCAAATTTCATCTAGACGTGGGTGTGAATGTGATATAAATATGATACCTACATTCACACCCTATTTTTTGCTAAATTTTTTTACATAGGTTTCATTATTAATCACTGTGCTTCCTCATTTCATAGACTCAAGTACACATCATTGAAACAAATGTAGCGTAGATTAAATACAAATAATATAATGGCACTGACCGTCAAATAATGTAGCGGAACGACAGATGGTGAAGAAGTACGTGTGAATACGTTGGTTGTAAATCTGAGTGAAATCAAAAACAACTGAATAAAAATACGACAAACATACTTTTTTATACATGTTTTTACTCTAATGATCAGTGATGCGTTGATTCTCTTTGTATTCTTCAACAAAAAAAAGTAATCTATAAGAGAGAGAGTTGCCAAAAGATAGTACATTTCTCTTGTCGAGCACATAACAGATAATATCTGAAATAAAGTATCCTACCTACCAAAATTGCGTATACACAAATTAGACTATACGTCAATTAGAATTTCAGCAATTTCAATTGTGCATACAAAAAATGAGATAGAGAAGAATGCGTCACTTTCTTTACTCGCACGCAGCATTGTCGTAGTTACTTTTCAAAACAAAAGTGCATATACAAACGTTGATTTATACGTCATGCAAAACTTCATCAATTTTGCTTGTACACACAAATGATAAGAAAGAAAAAGAAAAAATGCATGGTAATTACCGATAAAGGAAGAAAAATGTACATATATTCAAGGTAAGGCGTTGTCGTCGTCAGTATAATAGTGATCGATTTAAGCATAATTTCACTCGTTTACAAGTACGCACGTGCTATTTTTCTAAACAAAATTGTACATATATGCGCATATTTATCAGTTGATCCTTTTTCTTGTCAATTCATTAAAATACTACTGAGATATTTTGTTGACTACTTGTTTATACGTATCTCATAAATCTAATCAATCAAATTAATTGTATTCAACTGCTCAAATCTTTGAGAATACTTTAATTTTTTTTTATCACACATAACTTTTCTATGATATAGAACTGTTCTATACATTTATCTCTGGTAACTTCAATTAATACAAAAAAAAATAATTATGTAAATCAAAGTGTTGTTTTATGACAACTTTAAATACTTTTACTATATTCAGAATATATTCTTTTTTTCTTGTATAAATTATAATCAAGAATTGTTCAGTTATATTCTCTAGTGTTGATACATGTTTGCTCATGATAGTAGAAATAAATTTTGTATATATTCAAGGAAATAAGGAGATTTTTCAGATCATTTATTTAAAAGATACAAATAAAATTAGAAATTTTTCTTTCTTTGATTTGATTAATTGTTAGTGTTTCAAACTAAATCAATAACAAAAATTATTTTTTTCATGTATTTAGAATAAATGAACAACTAAAAATAATTTAAGAAAAAAGTTAAACAATATAATATTTGCTTTTATATAATAAAGTAGAGATTCAAAAATGGCAAATAATCTTTTCTTTTTCTTATTGCGAAACTACATTTTTTTCGGCTATAACTCATAAGATTCAAAGGTAAAAAAAAGAAGATACGTCGCATTGATACTCTAGAATAATATTCTTTTTCTTATCCTGTGATTTTCTTCATAATAAACTACTGAGTCATGTTTGCACATGCATATATTCTGTATTTACAAAAACGAAGTAATATTGCGGTTTTTCACATCGTTTCGTTCATTTAAAGAATATGTCTTTTAAGTAATATGCGTAATAATCAAAAATAAAAAAAAGGATTTGTCAGTTAAATAATTTATTCATTAATCAGTGAAACGAAATCTTCAGATAAAATTAATAAAATATTTAAGTATGCGTAGTTGCATTTATTAAGAATAAATCAATCTTTTGTATATTTATTAGTTGAATTTGTGACAAAGAGATATTATCTTATTTTGAGTGGTGATTCAATCAAATTTCTTTATATATCATTCAAAATGAGGAAATAACTCAGAACCTGTAATTATGTATATTTTCATATAGTATTCACGTAAGATAGTAGTGCACATGATCCATATGTCGATTAGTAAAAATATGTATTGAAACAGAAAAGTAAACGATACTCTCTATCGAAAGACATAGATATCACTGGGAGAAACATTCGACAACTGTTGAATATTTTCATATGATTAGTAATTGTTTTATTTTTATAGAAAGATAAATTGTTATTCGATGATCATTATGTAACGGAAGAAAGATGCAATAAGCTTCTAATCTATGTATATAAGTTATGAAAGGAGAAATTGTGTAAACTGTTCGGATAGCACCGAAACGTAGTGTTTAGTTGAATAATAATATTAAAGGGTAATAATAAATGTATATAGTTGATGCAGCTAAACTACACCCTATATTCCGTTAGTATACATATAACTTCCTTTGTAGAAGTTCAAAATTTAGGCTATATTTCGTTTTTGGATCTCGATTCAGAATGATTTCTAATAACGCGTTACACCTCATGTTTCTATAATACGTGTTACTCTAACTCGATACAACTATTAACTCGTTATTCTCTGCGTATATCGGAGAGAGATAAAAAATAAGATGAGTCAAGGAGAAAGAGAGAGGGACTAGAGTGAGCGGTGAAGAGAGAAAATATATCGAGAAGAAAGAAACAAGAGGTAGGGAGAAAAAGACTACGTATTAGTGGAATAGACAAAAGAAGTGTCATTCAAAACTATGTCCGTCACTTCTCTTGCCATACATTATTATTGTGAAAGTAATGATGATGATGAACTACCCATCATTATTGTTCGATGTCTATACCTGACAGTTCTAACTGTTATTAAATTTTAATTTATAATTTTGTTTAATTTCTCATTTTCGTTATATCTGTTATATTCCTTTTTCGAAAAACAGTAACAGTGTAGATCTGGGTGTAGGTGTAAGTCTGAGTGTGTAATAAATATAGTACTCACGCTTACGCTAGGAGCTACACCCCATGAATTTTTCTCAAATTAAAAACTTTGCACATAATTTATGCTGCAATCACATAAACGTTTTCATCAAATTCTTTTTCAGTATAATGCATATAAAGACGATCATCGTATATTCATTTATCATCATATAGATATTCTCATTGACGGAAAAAACGGATTAGAATTAAAAATCAATGACTGTTATAGTCTTATTTGTTGTGAGAATCTCGTTCTATTTAAGAACAACACAACCATATTTATACGGGGAAAAGAGTGAGACGCGATGCTTAATTCCCACCTATGCAGTAACAATGAACTTGGAAAAAGATGTTTTATTCTGTAAGAAATAAGACAGATTTCATATGATTCAGCAATATATCATAGGGTAAGAATGATAATAATGAAAAGAAATAATCGATAAAGCGAACGAATATGTTATCAGTTCGCTTACAATAACATTCATTAAATATATTTAAATCTTGAGGGTATATGTATATGAAGCAGCAACATATGGAACATCGACATCCTACTTTTATCCACACTGATACACATCGTTAAGATGCATATTTGTTCTTCAAAGATTCAGAAAAATATACACTGCAAAGCTTATTAAGTATGAATACATTAAAAAGAAAAGTAACGATTTAGTTTTTCACTCTGATTGATCAATTTGTTATCGAAATGACTCTATGTTCTGCACTATGCATCTTATTGATTATTGATATAACAATTAATCGTCAAATGATTACTAAACCACCATACAAACCAATTAATGTTGTTGTTTCTTCAATTACATTATGCTCATCGACATGTGAATAAAGACATAATGATGGAGAACATATATCAAAATAATCTTCATAAGTAATATAACTTGACAATTCTTCAATCGTTTGATTTAATAAAACCGACTCGTAGTAGGCAAAGAAATACTCATTTATTTGAAGGTGTTTGTCGAATCAATACATTGTTGATTAAAAGACATTGAAACGTTGATTGTAAAATCGATTCAAAGTGGGTAACAACCAGTCAACATTCCCCGGGATAAGGTTATACATTTAACTGGTAATGAACAACGAAATCCGTTATAATTCAGTGGTACAAAATGTCCATGTCTGTCCATATGTTGTTTATGTAAAGGTGCAAATATTCAATTTGTAAAGTATACACTCATAAACATGTTGCTATGAGTTATTTCTCGAATTAATGAAAGACTATTGATAGATATTTGTGGCATTATCAATTAAAACTCATTGATAATCGTTTAGATTCGAGTATTTAAGAAATTTGATAATAAAAGTTAATTATTAATAAAACCGCTTGTTCCTAATTGAAAAATTGAATCAATGACTACGTTTTTAGATAAATTATAAAATGAAAAAGTAATGGAAATTGTCCAGCAGCTGAATGAAAATAATCATTTGAAGATTTTTAATCATCAGGATATCTTTTTCCATAGAGTGTGTGTGGGTACCAGTTAAACTTCACATCCATACTCACACGATACACAAAAAGAATGAGTCGTTCTCAACTAACTTCTTCTATTAGTAAATTTAGATCATATATTTATAGTATAAAACTGATTGATAGACACTAATCGATTAGTTTTAAAAATCGAAATTAAATTAAATTGAACAATCGCATGTTTATGAAAGTTTTTATTAATTAGTGGAATATAGACAATTCAATAACGTATTTATATAGAGATAAAAGAATGACTTGTTGAAGATTCTTCTCAGTTTCTTTTTCGATTTATAATTGCAATGATCTATTACGAAGATGAAAAATGTTTACTTCTTTTCAATCTTAATAGAAACTCTCATTTTTTGCAGATTATTGTATAGAATATAAATTTCTTCTTGACAGTTTTGTATTTAAAACAAATTCTAGATGTATTTTGCTTAAAAATCAACATTCATAATCTTGCCAGATAAAATGATTTTAGAAATCTATCGATATCTTCATCGTAGTCATGTATTTTATTCATTTTACAATTTAAATTCTCGTATAAATCAAATAATTACATTCTATTATCAACATGTTTAGTTTCGTCGTGCATCATATAAACAATTACTTTATATCTATGAATATACTTTACTTCTAAAAGATTCATCAATCACATTAGTTATCATTTCCATGGTTATTTACTTAATAAATGTCAAATATATTTCCAAATTTCCAAATCTTAACATTAACAAGTTGTAAACGTGAACATTATTATTAATTCATGATAAAATTCAAGAACTATTGAATTCAGTAACAATATCAACTGAAGATTTTCTTCAGAAAATTTTGAATGAAAATAATTCCTTTTAAAATAATATTATATTTGATTGCGATTCACTTCATTTGAGTGATCTTTCAATAAATAATATTATTTCACATCATATTCGTTATCTAGCTCAAAGACTTCTTTACTTATTGAATATATTCCGAATATTTATCAATTTGATGTTACATTAAGAGATTCTTCATTAAAAATCGCATCTTTTATTGTATACTTCCATATTCAAAAATCTTTTCTCTCTTGGCTATTTACCAATATTCAGTTATCTTATATCTTTAATGTTAACTGTTCCTTCTATCGAACAAATTTCCTTAACAATATCTACACGTGATTCGAATCTTCTTTATGGTAAAAAAACTTCCTTCAATACTTCCTATTTAATTAAAACAATTTCAATATAGCGTTTATTATTATTCTAAACAGGATTAGAATCAATTAGTTGAAAATCGCGTGAAAAGTTCTTGGCGATCAATTCCAACTGTATATGTTCATTTAGTGAAAATGAGAAATGAATATTTCTTCATACTTTATACTATATCCCTCTTCACGTTTAACCATAAGATCTGCTTTAGTTAAAAACTCGACTCTACAACAATGTCGATAAATAAGAGACCCAAGTCTTCTAACGGCAAACAAAACGAATACATTAAATTCACAAGATGAGCCTACAGGTAAACAGTCAAAAAGATGAATGGAGGAAATTTTTGTCACTCATAATATTAACATAAGCCAATTTTATATAGATAAATTTACAGTCGATATATCTTTCATCGATAATCTTTAGATATGTTAGCTTACAATCACTGAAAAGAATCATTTCTCAGGAAAAAACTTTACATAAAAATGATTTATTACAAAAGAATGTAACTGATACTCGATATGATAAAGTGATGGATAGAATCGATAAGGAATTAAAATGTGAACGAAGATATTTTCATCAGCAATGGTGAAACTATCTTTTTACTGTACAAATACTTTAATTTAGTATAAATACAGACTGAGTACGTTATTTTTAATAGTTTTATGTAATTTATTGTATTTATTTGAAACACTGGAAGTTTATCATTTTGATACAGTTAGATAGAGTGCTGATTACTCTGTCAAATCATAGTTTACATTCTGTTCTTCGATTTCAGTTCAAATAAATTTCAAAATCTCAAACAACATCAAAAATGTTTTTTTTAAAAGCAGGTATCAGATGAGAGACAGAGTATGTTTTATTTTTTGTATCAGCACATTTATTTGAAATTTCTTTGAAACAGAATATACCAAAAGATGCAGCGTGAAAAGCTCTACAACTTGCATGGAGCCATTTCTTTTCTACTTTTAGTTTTTGTTATAAAAAATTCGACAAAGCCAAATTTCTATTATCTTGGAAGAAAAATTTTTTTTCAATGGAAAAAATCGGTTGCGCTGAATAGTACTTTTTTTAGGAACAAAATAATGTACAATTAATATACGCTTGATCACGCATATTGTCGACCTTTTGACGCTGCATCTTCTGATATATTTTTTTCTTAATTAAACGTACTGTATAATTCGATAGAGTAGTCGATGCTCTATCCAACGGTATCAAAATAATAAACTTTCAGTGTTTCAGGTAAATACAATAAATTACACAAAACTATTAAAAATAATGTACTGAACCTGTAGATTAAATTCAAGATCAAGATCAATAGAATTAGTCAATAGCAATCCTTAATGTCACAAATAGATACCAGAACTTCACATAAATATCTCAACAACAGTAAGAATTAGTGATCTAGTAGTTTTTTTAAGTATGCAGTGATAAAAAAAACTATTATTAGATTCTTTTCGTCAACAATGCACTTATTTACAAGTTTATCTTAATTATTCATGATTGTCATTTAGAGACTTTCTGTTGAAACAATACAACAAGAAGAAGGATAAAAGCTAGTTTAAACATTTACCAATATAAATACTTTTTTTCACTTGCGATTTTCTAATAACAAACATGACTCAACACGTTTTTTCTCCATTAAACCAAATCAAACATTTATTTTTCGTAAGCTACTGCTATAGTTAATCAACCATGACAATATTTCATCAGTGTATTTTTTTTTGTTCTTCATTAGTTGTTTTTCATAACCACATCATCACGAGTGAAGAAAAAACCATTTCGAAATAAAGTAGACACTTATAAAACGAATCAGTTTTGATCATTACGCTACTAGTAAATTTTACACAATAACTTGAATCCATAATACTCACACAGTCAACAATGAACAGCAGAAAGTTAACAGCAACCAACGAATCTGATGGCGCAATAAATAAATATCCATTTCCAGAAGATGCAGAACGTCGTCGACGTACCAATATTCAACGCATGCAAAATGTTCTTCTTATCTGGTTAGACAGTAACATTGACGAGACGAATGATGATTGCAAAAATACAATCAAACAACTGCGACGGGCTATTAACGACACCAATATATTCACAGATGGTGATCAGTGTTTAGAGTTCATTAAAACAATTGTTGACAAAAAGGCATGTATGATTATATCTGGATCACTTGGAAAACATATTGTGCCTCGTGTGCACAATATGTCCCAGGTCGACTCAATATTTATTTTTTGTGATAACGAAAAACAACATGAACAATGGGCAAAAGATTGGCCAAAAGTAAAGGGTGTCTTCACGGGTATTACACTCATCTGTAAAGCACTCAAATCGGCAGCTCATCAATGTGAGCAAAATGCCATTCCGATGAGTTTTGTGAGATCAAATAAAAAGTTGGATCAGTTAGATCCTTCTTTTATGTATACCGTACTCATCAAGGAGATATTACTGACGATCGACTTCGAAAAAAAACATATACAAGATTATATCGATCACTGTCGCGGTGTTTTTGTTGACAATGAAGAGGAAACAGTTAATATTAAACGATTCGAAGATGAATATCACGACAAAAAACCAGTTTATTGGTACACCTGTCATATGTTTCTGTATCCCATGCTCAATCGTGCATTACGACTGATGGATGGTGATATCATTACACGGATGGGTTTCTTCATTGCTGATTTGCATAGAAACATTGAACAACTACACAAGGAACAGTATGTTGGTAAAACTGCTACTGACACCTTCACGCTTTATCGCGGACAAGGTTTATCTAATACGGATTTTGAACGAATGATGATAGCGAAAGGTGGTCTTGTTTCATTTAACAACTTCTTGTCTACCAGTGAAAACATCAAAGTTTCCCTAGGCTTCGCTCAAGATGCTACAACAAATCCAGATCAAATGGGAGTTCTTTTTATCATACAGATTGATCCTGGTCAATCAACAACACCCTTTGCTTCCATTGCTAGTATCAGCGCTATGAAAAGAGAAAAGGAAGTTTTATTTTCGATGCATAGCGTGTTTCGTATCCACGATATTAAACAGACGGATGGAAATGATCGTTTATATCAAGTTAACTTGGAACTGACTGCGGATAACGATCCAGAATTAAGCAGACTAACTGATTACATTCGCGAAAAGAACTTTCCAGGCAAAGAAGGATGGTACAGATTGGGTTCCGTATTACATAAAATGGGTCAATTCACCAAAGCTGAAGATATTTATCAAGTTTTACTTCGTCAAACAGACGATGACGAACATACGGCACGTCTTTATCGTCAACTTGGTTTAATCAAACGTGTTCAAGGAAAATATGAAGAAGCACTTTCTAATCTTCAAAAAGCCTTTAAAATTCGACAACAATCACTTCCTCTCAATCATACTGAATTGGCTGATTCCTACGACGATGTTGGTAATGTACATGATAACATGGGTAATTATCCAATAGCACTTTCATCTCATAAAAAAGCCCTTGAAATCCGACAGCAAACACTACCTCCCGATCATTTCGATTTGGCTTCTTCCTACAACAACATTAGTAATGTGCATTATAACATGGGTGATTATCCTGAAGCACTATCATTTCAGGAAAAAGCCCTTAAAATCAGTAAAAAATCACTTCCTCCCAATCATCCTGATTTAGCTCTTATCTACGGCAACATTGGGGAAGTGCATAACATCATGGGTAATTATTCCGAAGCACTTTCATTTCACGAGATGGCTCTTGACATTCGACAACAATCACTTCCTCCCAATCATCCAGATCTGGCTATATCCTACAACAACACTGGTTCAATGCATAAAATCATGGGTAGTTATCCCGAAGCACTTTCTTATTATCAGAAAGCCCTTGAAATCAGTAAACAATCACTTTCTCCCAATCATCCTCATTTGGCTATGTTCTACAACAACATTGGTGTAGTGTATGACAGAATGGAGAATTACACCGAAGCACTTTCATCCTATGAAAAA